GTTTTGTAAGCGAACATCACACAAAAATCTTTGTTTACTCCACTGATCTGTAACGTTACCTTCCAGACTGAAGTCCAGCAGCACATACTCGTACACGGAGTCTGTTTTAGTCTCGACCAGTGGTCGCTTTAAAGTGGAGTAGATTTTCCCCGGGCTGCTGTCCTCCGGGTCCTCCAATTTCCGTAGTCCACATCCCATATTAGCGGGATCTCCAGCACACGTAAGGCCGGACACGGGGCGACCCACTCGGCCACGCACTCAGAGGACTCCCGCTCCCGTGCTTGCTTAGTGGGTTTGCTCCATATTCCAACAACTTAATCCTTCGGGAGTGGCACTGCACCGAGGATGACGTGCCGTGTGTCTGATCGCCTTTAAGAAAACGGCTCAAGTCAAGCAAAGATCACCAGTTCCTGCTACGAGGTCTTTATGAGACTAAAAGAATAAAATACTTTCTGAAGTTGTGCAGTAAAGAAATCCAGACTCTACCAGAAAACCACATCACATTCAGTCTCCCCAAATGGCCGCGAAATAATAACGCAAAAGTTGTACTAGTGGGCTGGAAGCGTGTTGGAATTAATGAGGGGGCGTAGCAAAGGAAGAACGGGATTGCTGAATAATTAACCAGGGCGGGGCTGCATATTAAACAGGAGGCGGGGCGTGTATAAATAAAAAAATATTTACAAGGCAAACAGAAAACGTATTACTAATGTTATTGTTCCGTTTAGTTATTTTGTTAACCGACTCCGATTAAGAAAGAAAAAAGATTATGATAACGTCTATTAAAACGCCTTCTCATTACACTTGATAACAGTTAAATGTATCAAATGGACTCTCAGTATTTGTCCTCAAATTGTTTTCTTTGCATTATTATGTCATTTGTATTCTATAATTATTTTAAAAACAAACAAAAAATGTTTTATTAAAAAAGGGATGTATAGCAATTTTTCCTCCTTCAATAATCCATGGTGAAAAAATCCTACCAAAACCAGCAATTTAGCAAATAACATTTAGGGTCACTTTCTGGCACAGTGTAAGGCAGGGATGGAAATTCTATAAAGTGACTTAAAACCACTTTGACTGAAGACTGAAGCACTAGAAACATCTGTTCAAATAAGAGGTAAGCTAAATTTGTTGGCCATATAAAACCTGAGGAGCTGAGTAGAAAATTATATGTATGAGCAAGAGCAAGAGTGTATTTTTAAAGATTAATGTCTAAAATATCTAATTTACTAAACACTTGGCCATTCATTTAACCCATTCTATCCATTTGAGAGCTGTTATGCTATACCTTCCCTAAACCGGCAACACAGCCAGTGATCAGATGTGTTTCTTTGAAGAGTTATTATATGTTTATGACTTTCATAATTTCAGTTACCTATTTCATGACTTGTGTGACTAACATGTTGTATTACATGTGGGCCTTGCCCTTACTGTAAATAGGCAGCTGTAATATTGGCCTAATGTTGAGGGAGGCATTTAGAGGCCATCTGGATCTTGTTTGTGCATTTTAGAAGTAGCACATGGCTAAAGCGCAAACAGACATGCGCCACTGGCTACCTTTTCTCTTACAAAAGAAAATAAGAGCATTTTGGTAATAAAACATAACAAAACAGAGAGAAGGAAGGAAGGAGGCCTCGAAATGGGGGGAGCAGAGGAAAGCTAAGAGACACAACTCAAATCATTCAGTGTGTGTATTATGTGGCTCTATTTTTACACAGTTGTGTGTGAGTCAGACTTCACCCAGGCTAAAGCGGAACAAAAAAACAAAACATGAAACTACCAAAGTAGCTTGCTGTACCACCTGTCAAACTTACAGCTGAAAACAATGCCCACCTGCTGGCCGTGAGCACCATGCTGAACAACAGTCTCATTAACCAGCCACAAAGCGGCACTCCAGCACACGTAAGGCCGGACACGGGGCGACCCACTCGGCCACGCACTCAGAGGACTCCCGCTCCCGTGCTTGCTTAGTGGGTTTGCTCCATATTCCAACAACTTAATCCTTCGGGAGTGGCACTGCACCGAGGATGACGTGCCGTGTGTCTGATCGCCTTTAAGAAAACGGCTCAAGTCAAGCAAAGATCACCAGTTCCTGCTACGAGGTCTTTATGAGACTAAAAGAATAAAATACTTTCTGAAGTTGTGCAGTAAAGAAATCCAGACTCTACCAGAAAACCACATCACATTCAGTCTCCCCAAATGGCCGCGAAATAATAACGCAAAAGTTGTACTAGTGGGCTGGAAGCGTGTTGGAATTAATGAGGGGGCGTAGCAAAGGAAGAACGGGATTGCTGAATAATTAACCAGGGCGGGGCTGCATATTAAACAGGAGGCGGGGCGTGTATAAATAAAAAAATATTTACAAGGCAAACAGAAAACGTATTACTAATGTTATTGTTCCGTTTAGTTATTTTGTTAACCGACTCCGATTAAGAAAGAAAAAAGATTATGATAACGTCTATTAAAACGCCTTCTCATTACACTTGATAACAGTTAAATGTATCAAATGGACTCTCAGTATTTGTCCTCAAATTGTTTTCTTTGCATTATTATGTCATTTGTATTCTATAATTATTTTAAAAACAAACAAAAAATGTTTTATTAAAAAAGGGATGTATAGCAATTTTTCCTCCTTCAATAATCCATGGTGAAAAAATCCTACCAAAACCAGCAATTTAGCAAATAACATTTAGGGTCACTTTCTGGCACAGTGTAAGGCAGGGATGGAAATTCTATAAAGTGACTTAAAACCACTTTGACTGAAGACTGAAGCACTAGAAACATCTGTTCAAATAAGAGGTAAGCTAAATTTGTTGGCCATATAAAACCTGAGGAGCTGAGTAGAAAATTATATGTATGAGCAAGAGCAAGAGTGTATTTTTAAAGATTAATGTCTAAAATATCTAATTTACTAAACACTTGGCCATTCATTTAACCCATTCTATCCATTTGAGAGCTGTTATGCTATACCTTCCGCAACACAGCCACACAGCCAGTGATCAGATGTGTTTCTTTGAAGAGTTATTATATGTTTATGACTTTCATAATTTCAGTTAATGACTTGTGGACTTGTGTGACTAACATGTTGTATTACATGTGGGCCTTGCCCTTACTGTAAATAGGCAGCTGTAATATTGGCCTAATGTTGAGGGAGGCATTTAGAGGCCATCTGGATCTTGTTTGTGCATTTTAGAAGTAGCACATGGCTAAAGCGCAAACAGACATGCGCCACTGGCTACCTTTTCTCTTACAAAAGAAAATAAGAGCATTTTGGTAATAAAACATAACAAAACAGAGAGAAGGAAGGAAGGAGGCCTCGAAATGGGGGGAGCAGAGGAAAGCTAAGAGACACAACTCAAATCATTCAGTGTGTGTATTATGTGGCTCTATTTTTACACAGTTGTGTGTGAGTCAGACTTCACCCAGGCTAAAGCGGAACAAAAAAACAAAACATGAAACTACCAAAGTAGCTTGCTGTACCACCTGTCAAACTTACAGCTGAAAACAATGCCCCCCTGCTGGCCGTGAGCACCATGCTGAACAACAGTCTCATTAACCAGCCACAAAGCGGCATATTTTTGAAAGCAGCTCATTTTAGTGGCTTTGTGTGTCGCTTTATTGTTTTGGCTCTATACCGTTCAGAACACAATAGTTATGATTAGGGATTAGTTTCCATAGTTTTCAAAATTGATTCTTTGAAAACATCTTTGTGTCAAATTTCCTGTCATTCTTTTTAGATTATGTGGCCTTGGGTTGCCCTGTAAAGGCCAAATCACACTGCACCGACAAACGCCAACAGACTAGTCTGTCGGAGTTTGTTGGATCAGTGTGTTACCTCTGTCGGCGTTTGTCGGTGCAGTGTGATTTGGCCTTAAGACAACAGACATCTTGATGCATTTATGGATTATAAGGACACAATATCACTTTCTCGGATTTTTTAATTAAATGTTCCCTCCTGGTGGAAGGACCTGCCCAATTCAATCCAAGCAGCTGAGTCCTTAGCCAAGAATCGGCTAAAAACACATCTCTTCCTTCTTTTTTTGACCCTCTAACTCTAGCACTCTCTATTCTAATTCTATTCTTAAAAACAAAACCTGCCCCTTTTAGACTTGCATTCTATTCATTTACTAACTGCTTGTTTTCTTTAAAAAAACAGCAACAACAACACTAACACTAGCTTATATTCTTTTTGTATTCTATCTAGTTGTTTACTTTTCATTTATTATACAATTAACAAAAGCAAAAAAGGTATTTAACAGTAGCTTGCTCTATTCTTTTTCTATTCTATCTGTTTTCTTTTTATTTATTATATAATTTTAAAAAACCCTTGCAACGTATACTGCGTTAAGCTAACTGAGACTTGTTATAGCACTTGCATATCATTGCTCTTTTGTTGATTTTGATTACTTCCATTGTCCTCACTTGTAAGTCACTTTGGATAAAAGCGTCTGCTAAATGACTAAATGTAATATAATTAAGTATTAAATGATATTTAATATGAAACGTAGTGCAGTAAAAAGTTCAATATTATGCTTTGGAATGTTGTGAAGTAAAGTTTTCTAAAGAAAAACACTGATAGATTACAGACACTTGAAAAGTACTTTTACAGCAAAGTAAAAATACTTCACTACTGTCTGTCTGTCTGTCTATCTATCTATCTATCTATCTATCTATCTATCTATCTATCTATCTATCTATCTATCTATCTATCTATTTCTACTAGCTTTCTCAAGCCAACTTCAAAGTTTGTCTTGACAAACTTTTTTATCTAGTTGTATATATCATGCCAGACTCAGAAACATAAGTTTCAATCTCGACAGTATGTCACACATCTGTGTGCCCGTGTGCCTCTTAGTCAGTGCTCAGAAATAACACTGAAAACCAAGTCTGGGTCCTAGACCGGAAACCACTGTCATTCTGAGACCACACCCAGAGGACACTGGGAAGGAAACCCATGCCTTCTTTAAACAGACAGCATAAGGAAGCAAACCTACAGTAAGTAGTTAAACTGACACAAAACTGTATGCAAATGTAAAACACTAATTATTTATTTTCAAACAAGTACTTCCAAAAATGACACTACCGTAACTATTAATTTCTCATCTGTCTCCACATTTTCATTCCAAAATACAGACTGATACACATCACTCCACATTATAATCCCACCTCTGTTCCTGATTAAACTGGCCTACATCAGTCGCTCTGACACATAATCCTGACTCTATGCAACCTAGTCATCTATTCCTGCGCTCCAGTGAGATCATTTCTGGAGAGAATCAAATGTAACATTTTACAATCACTTTCAATGTTAGAGCGACACAAGCAGTGTCACCTCTCAGCAAGAAGACCCCCACAGAAGGCATAGGACAAGTGGTTTGGAAACTATGAAGGATGGATTGATTTCAACATTTATTTTAAACTGGCATTTCTTTGTACTTGATTAGTGATTGAATGGTATCTTATTCCATTTTATGAGATGAGATTGCTTAGCTTGATTTATCATTCAGAAAATACAAATTGAAACTGGACTTCTTAAGGACACATAAAGGCCATTAAACTGCCTCATGAATGAGCGAATTCAGTTTTGCAAATGATCGCTACACGTCTCTTCTCCAATACATGTGACACAGCGCCATCTAGCGTTCAACACATGTACTAATCCTGTATTGAATAGGGATTTTAAAAATGTTTAGCATTATAAATTAAAATTCCAATTTAATTTCATGTGATTATGTAGATTCAATAGAAAAAAATTAACAATCATGTCTGTTTAGGATTTTCACTCATCTCATTGTGTAATAGAATTTGTTGTGGATTTTTTGAGAGTGCATGGGTCTCTGACTGTGATATTTAAACTGATTATAATTAAACTGAATATCGACGAATGTCTGAATATCGATATTATGAATTGTATCAAAACATACTGTGTAAAATCCAGAAATCCAGATATTGTCATTTGCTGTTGGATCTCACCATTTTTTCCCTCCAAATTTCAACATGTCTGTCTGTAGGTTATACATATTACTATTAGGACTGAATAGTACAGCTAAAATAGTTTTAGCATATTCCCTCTAGCGAAAATGTTTTCATAACTTACCATTTTATTTCATTTTTATTATATAATTATTAAAAATAAATGTGTAATTGCTTTATTAAAGAATACAATGTAATGGTCCTTTTTCCTTCCTAAACCATCATTCATATGAATAATTGTATTATTTCTCTTTGACAATGTAAAGCAGGGATGGAAATTCTATAAAGTGTCCTGAAACCGGTTAAATTAAAAATGTAGCACTAAGAAACATCTGTTCAATTAAAGTGGTAGGCCTAAGCTAAATTTGTTCACCATACGAAATGTATAAGTTAAACATGACTGTTATGGCTGAATATTGTGACAGCTAAAATATCATACAAATTCTGGTTTCTTTAAGGTTTGCAGCATCTTCCCTCTATAGTGAAAATATGAGAGTTCGTAACCAGCTGCTCTTTTCATGATTTTCCGTGAAGCACTTTGAGAGCGTTTGATCCAACACGAGAAAAGCTATTCAGTTTGGAATGCGAGGAGATGTAAAGTGCAGATAGAAATGACAGAGCAACCTACCTGAAACAGCACAGAGATAAGAAATAAACAGCACTGATAGAAACTAAGATTCTGTGTGATTTTAAATGAAAAGAAGCAATAATGCAATAAAGATTGTTTCAGATCATATTGCCTTCAAAATACTTTCAACCTTCTTTAAAGCTTTTTGTGTAGTGCATAGACAACGTTCGTTCAAAACCTCTAAACACATAGTGAAGATTTTGATTTGGACTTTGTTTTGAAATACAATCGAAGCAATAAAAGACTTGAGATAGGCTGCACCTGCACCTGCACCTGCTGTTATCTCGTTCTACACCGACCAGGGAGCAAAGAAGCAGAGCTGAGGAGTGAAGGACACAGAGATAAGAGCAACACGACCCTGACACACATCTGTCACCTCTCACACTCGCTTGCGCTCTCCAGCAGTAACAAGCTCTTGTTTTGGACGGAGTGTAGAAACACTGAAATATTTAAACGAAGTTTACAAGACAATGCTACCAGGTAAACGATTTATATAGGGATCCTAAAACACAAAAGCATAGGCCTACGCGATGTGCCATATTTTCATAGTAAACTGTGTTTTTGTTCTTTTTTTTCATACGTTAATGTTAAAGTTCTTAACTCGTTGTAGTAATTCACGTTATACACTTGAGGGCGTTATAGCCTACACATAAGGGCTAGTTCTTGGTGAAAAACTATTTATGATCACACACTTCCGTGAATACTGCTGTATGTTTTGGAATATTTCAAGATACGCGTGCACATACATTTTCGTTATTATAGTGGACTCAAATCTAACCTTAATCATATCATTTTGCTGTGTTAGGTGTTAACCTGGTTCTAAAATGTAAACAAATGACAGAAAAACAGACACTGACCATTATCTTTGTAGCTGATAGTGAGAGAACATTAAACTAAATATTAGTTTATATTATTTGCACATAAGGGCTAGTTCTTGGTGAAAAACTATTTATGATCACACACTTCCGTGAATACTGCTGTATGTTTTGGAATATTTCAAGATACGCGTGCACATACATTTTCGTTATTATAGTGGACTCAAATCTAACCTTAATCATATCATTTTGCTGTGTTAGGTGTTAATCTGGTTCTAAAATGTAAACAAATGACAGAAAAACAGACACTGACCATTATCTTTGTAGCTGATAGTGAGAGAACATTAAACTAAATATTAGTTTATATTATTTTTTTAAACAGAAATACCCCACATATTGTTCAATAATTAATATTAGTGGGCACTAACACATTTTCTAAGAGGTAACATACATAGATATAATGTGGCAAATATTAAGTTGGGTGTGAACTTGCTTTGCTATGAGAAGATTACATTTTCAAACCTCTTTACCTCATAAACTGTTAACTCAGACACACACACACACACACGCACGCACACACACACACACACACACACACACACACACACACACACACA